GACTCATAGCGACCCCTCCTTGGGTTTCCGAGGCAGTATCACTACGGAAGTAGGATTGCCCAACCTTCCTTCCGAGGAGTGGCTAGTGGGTTTGAACCGCCAGCCGTCTGGTTAGCAGTCAAGTGCCTTAGCCACTATGCTACCAGAGCTCCCTTCATATTATCAGCAAATAGAGATAGTTTGACTTCTTTCTTACCAATTTGGATGCCTTTGATTTCCCTTTCTTGCCTTATGGCCCTGGCTGGGGCTTCCAGTACAATGTTGAATAGAAGTGGTGATAGAGGGCATCCCTGTTTGGTTCCTCTTTGCAAGATGAATGGTTTCAGTCTCTCTCCATTGAGTATAATGTTGGCTGTTGGTTTTGCATAGATGCCCTTCATTATGTTGAGGAATGTCCCTTCTATTCCTAGTTTGCTGAGAGTTTTGATCAAGAATAGGTGTTGGATTTTATCAAATGCCGTTTCTCCATTAACTGATATGATCATGTGGTTCTTTTTCTTTGTTTTATTTAGTGGTGGATGACGCTGATTGTTTTTCTAATGTTGAACCATCCCTGCATACCTGATATGAACTCCACTTGGTCAAAATGAATGAGTTTTTAGATATGTTGTTGGAGTCTATTGGCTAGGATTTTGTTGAAGATTTTTGTGTATCTATTCATGAGGGCTCTTGGTCTGTAGTTTTCCTTTTGAGTGACATAACCACATAAACCTATGCTTGCTTCACAAAATGAGTTAGGGAGGATTTCTATCCTTTTCTATGTTTGGGAATAGTTTGAGTAGGATTGGTGTCAGTTCAACTCTGAATGTTTGGTAGAATTCTCCAGTGAAACAGTCTGGGCCAGGACTTTTTTTTGTTGATAATTTTTTGATGACCTGTTCAGTTTCTTCTTTTGTTAAGGATCTGTTCAACTTTTCCACATCAGTTTGTGTTAGTTTAAGTAAATGCTGTGTTTCTAGAAATCTGTCCCTTTCTTCCAGATTTTAATCTGTCCATTTCTTCCAGATTTTCAAATTTGTTGGAGTACAGTTCTTCATAGTATTCTGATATTATCCTTTTCATTTTTGTGGGTTCTGTTGTGGTGTTGCCAAATTCATTTCTTATTCGTGCTATTTGTATTCTCTCCTTCTTTTCCTTTGTTAAATTTGCCAGTAGTTTTGTCAATTTTATTAATCTTTTTAAAAAACTAACTTCTGGTCTTGTTGATTTTTTTCTATTGTCTTTCTATTTTCTGTTTCATTGATTTCTGCTCAAATCTTTATTATTTCCTTTCTTCTGGTGACTGTAAGCTTTTCTTGCTGTTCTTTTTCTAATTGTTGGAGATGTTGGTTTAAAGTGTTGATTTTGACTCTTTCTTCTTTTCTGATGTGTGCATTGATTGCTATAAATTGGCCTCTGATCACTGCTTTTGCTGCATCCCAAAGATTTTGGTATGTTTTGGGTTCATTCTCATTTGATTTAAGGAATTTTTGAATTTCATTTTTTATTTCTTCTATTACCTACTCCTTCTTAAGAAGGGTGTTGTTCAGTTTCCATATGTTTGTTCTTTTTTCCATTAATCTTCCTATTGTTGATTTCTAATTTGAGAGCATTGTGATCTGAGAATATGCTTTGCAGTATTTCTATGTTTTCAAATTTATCAAGGCTTGCTTTATGGACTAACATATGGTCTATCATAGAAAATGTTCCATGTGCACTGGAAAAGAATGTATATTGTGCTGTTGTTGGGTACAGACATCTGTAGATGTCTGTAAGATCAAGTTGGTGGATTGTGTTGTTCAGCTCTTCTGAATCTTTGTTGAGTTTCTTTCCAGTTGTTCTATCTTTCATTGAAAGTGGTGTATTAAAGTCTCCTACTATGATTGTGGAGTCATCTATTTGCCTTTTCAACT